TGCAAAAAGAAAGAGTATCTGTCAGTGTTTGAAAATGCTCCAACTCACACTACAGCTGACTCTTACTAATCAGCACTCTGTCATTTGTTTATGACAACAAGAAACATCCCTATAACTTATATATACTGTCAATAAAGTTAACTAGTTACTTTATACACAGTTAGACCCGTGCATGGGCGAATGAGTCTTACTGTTATTAGGTCTGAACCTAATGATTATTTCTATGAGCTATAATATAATGATGTATATTTAAAATGCATTGTTTAGTCATGAAATCATAAAATAGTGAAATTATCCATAATATTTATCCCAGAGTGTAAGATTTTGTCTTTGAGTTACTTGTTTCTTTTGTCAATATCCAATTAAAAGCAAATTGTAAAATATAGAGGGCCTGTTAGGCAGAGAATGATTTGTAATTTTGTCCTCCCGAATAAATCGTAATATGGATATAATTTAGTAACATTTAGGATCTGTTGTCAGAAGTGGAATATAATATTAACTGGTATGTTGTGTTCAGTTAGTGTCAAGCTGCAACTTCACCGCAAGACGCCACTAAATCCTGCACACTGCTTTAACCAATTGTCAAACTTTGTTGATTTAATTTTCTGCTTATTTAGAAATAACAATATAACTCATCAGCTTCATCCAGTACTTTAAGAGGCAACATAGATCATTTATTCTGATTGCTAATATTTAGTTTATGTTGAAAATTGTTTTATTTCCCCCTGTTATTGTATTTCACTTAACACAGCCATTAAGCTCCACCCTTAATAACATCCTCACTAGTCACTAACAGTGTTTAACTGGAGAGCCATAACAACAAAGATAACAAACCGAACACAATTAACACAAACTGACGCTTTGTGAAGGCTACAGTTCACACTCGTAACAACATTTGACATGACAGCCGACAGAAAGCTTGAGCTTGATGTTTCCACAGAACACCGTTGTGGTGGAGCGCTGGTGGCAGGTGCCTTTATCTAAAGTGGGCAGCCCGCCGAGGCTTCACCCTCGAAGGCACAAGATCTACAAGTTGGTTGAAGACACTAAACGCAATCCCGCAGGGAAGATGGAGCTCATCCTGACTCAGACAGTGCCCAGTGAGTGTCTACAGTACTCTCAACCGGTCACATAAAGCTTTTTGAATCTGTGACATTTTGTTTAATAATAATAACTTTGTTTGCTCCGACAGAGGTGGGTGGGCGAGGAGACACTGTGTTAGTGAAAAAGTCTATTGGCAGGAATAAGCTGCTGCCCCAAGGCCTCGCGGTGTATCCATCGCCGGAGAACAAACAGATTTTTGCTGAGGAGTTAAGAGTGCGTATTGCATTTTAATACCATCTATCGCCCAACCCCAACATATTAGATAGCAATATACAGCTGTTGATTGTTGTCACCTTGTTTACCAACAGCTTTTGCGTGAGGGGAAGCCAGAGGAAAGAACCCAAACTCGCACTGGACAGCTTGTAAGTTTGAATCTATTGAAGATATTTAAAAGTATTACATCTTTATTCACTACCTACTGTAGGTCCTGTGCTTGAGTCTCAGTTATTAAGAGATCAACAGCTGTCAGTGTTTTAACAAAGTTTCTTTTTTTTAACAGACAGTGGGCTTTCTTAAACAAGCCACGTTGAAAATAAACCAAATGCCTTCGGATGAATTCCAGGTCACTAAAGAGGTCCTCCGCAGACAGTTTGTCAAGAAGGTACGACTGTCTTTGTCTTTTATATTTCCCTCACATAAGATTATCTGCTCGAAACACTGAGAAATGTCCCGTTTGATATTAAAGGAGACCTCTTATGCTTTTCCTTAGTTTCTGTCGGATATTAAATGAGGCCAAAGTGTCAAATAATGAGGTAAAACTAATCACTGTGAGCAAAAAGTTTAGAATTCAGAGCGCTCTAAATGTGTTTACAACGTTTTTGAACTTCACATGACGAGCTGACGTCTGCTCACAGATTTCTTTATAAGAGACGGCTTGTTTCAGACAGAGGATAAACTGAGGTGCTACATGAAGGGCCAGTATAAGGATAAGGATGTTTTTGTTGTTGTTCATGCAAAGCCTCTGTACTTTTATAGAGCTGGTAATGAGCATAATAGGTCTCCTTTATGTTAAGCTTTTGCTGAGCATAAATTACATTGTTTTATTGACTTAAATAAATTTTTTCCTCAGCTGGGAGTTGTTATGCCACCTCACGCATTGAGTTTTCCATTTGAGTCTGTCAAGGAAGTGGGTGACTACTGGTGTGAAGTTACGGTAAGAAGTGTTGTTGTTTTTCTTTAAATTCTATTATCTAATATCTAAAGTGTGGCTCCACACTTTAGATGCTTTTTTTAATAGTAGAAATTGATTCCAAACAACTAGCCAAGTGTTTGAAATGTTTTTTTACATATAGGTACTGCATGTTGCAAGAAAAATAAACACATTTTAAATTCTTGCAAAATACAGCAGCAACACTCTCTCTGTGGAGGATTACCTTGAACCTTTTGTTCATATTTTATGTCAGTCTCCCACACATAAAAACAATTAAAAATCTCAATAACAGAAGCAAGTTGAGGCTGTTACTCTACCAAAGACCACACTGCTTATTCTTCATATTTTTATCTCCCAGGTTAACGGAATAGACACAGTTCGCGTCCCCGTGTCACTGTTGCCATTCGAAGACCCGTCCACAAAGTATCGGAAACAGTTGAAAGCACAAAAGCTACAGGAGGCAGGCGTAAATGTTTCAGAACCTTCTACAGCTGGTGAAGACTTATAGTAGTGAAGCTTCAACCTCAACAGGAGCCTCTGCTGCTGAAGAAACGTCGGCCAGTGCACAGACAATTCAAGACACAACAGCACCCCCAGGTGACTGCCCCAAGAAAGATTAAAGGACTCCAAATGAACTGTAGAACTGAAATGGATAATACACATTATACACGCATACAACAATGTTGTGCTTGACTATTAAAATGTTCATTTTCATTCAGTTCAAGGGTGCGTCCTTTATACGTATGTGGACGTGTCATTAAACGTACATATGTAAATTCATCAGGGTGTCTCACATCAAAACTAACAAAAGATGAAGTTTAATGACGTCTTGAAGTAGCGTGGGATCATGGGAGTTGGTGCCTTCACCACCATCTGCTTCTCTATATTAAGATTCCTTCTGTGTTCATTGTTCAGGAGGTTTTCAGCAGGAGTCAAATTATCCAGAGGTCTCCTCCTCTCCAAAACAGATCTGGTAAAACTGGTGAAAACACTGAATAAAGCAATTTCACCTTAAAAATCTGTGATTCTCTCACACTGTTTGGCGGGTAAACAACGTCCCGGACGGCCAGCCGAGCTCAGCTTGTTGTTCTGATAAGTTGACATCTAAAAAGTGTATCGTAAAAATGTGACTTAAAACTGGGTTAAAAGTAGACATCTTCTGGCAGACAACCACAACTCTGACGTGTGTATAAAAGGTGATATGAAGCCATTGACAAGTGACAGGTAAAATCCAGTTAGTTAGTTAAATAAAATAGTTTTCTGTGTTTCAACATTGCTGGAAACATTTGGGATAACATAAGTAATAAAGTAGTAAATAAATAACAGGTCAATTTAATGTGGATGTGTTACATGGTTTTAAAAAAGGATAACCTAGTAATGTGTGTGAATATTACAGCTTAATGTTCAATCCAACTTTGGACCACTAAACAGTGTTGCTGAGTGAAGTATTATAGGAAACAATAATGTTGCCTCAGTTGGTAGTCCTCCCACAATGTAAAAGTTATAAGGAAAAGTGAGGCTTCAAAGGAACTTGAACGTTTTAAATCAAAGGAAAATGCAGTGTTATGTATGGAAATATTCCACATGAACTCCACATTATAGTTGGATAATATGACCTTTGTTATCTTACCGGATGTAATAGCTGCTTCATCCTGATACCAGACGTGACCAAAAACTACCCAGTTGCATTCAAAGTTATGGAGCCAAGAAAGGAAAATATTTATTCATTAATTCTAAACTACATAACAAAAAAATTGGGGTAAACAAAATTTTTCCCAGCAATGCTATCAAACATTGGGACTGAATCTGGAATGTCAATGCTAAGTTTGGTAAGCTTTGTCTTAAGATGAAACCTGCTTGTTTGTGTCCCAGGAGACAGATTCAGGTCAAACAGTGTAGAGTTTAAGCTCTATAATTTATATTACTTTGTCTCTATGTGTGAGGACATGTATTCAGACGGTCAGCTACTTGCTTTGGGCTGCATGTCCACTGCCAGGTGTGTAAATGTGCTGTGACACGCTCTGCAGGCGGTATGTACCAGATGAAACTATGAAATATGGAAGCAATAGATATCCCTGGACTGCTGGTGTCTTTCTGCCAAACAGACTTTGAGGCAGATCGGGTTGTGCATGTTTTGGTACAGTAATGGGGGACGACTAAAGAGTCGCGGCCGCCACACCTAGCCAACGTTTACAAATGAAGCTCTCTGCAAAATCCCATGTGTAATGAAGTCCTTGTAGAAGCAACTTGGCTCACATTTATGCTCCATTTCCTGCTTAGAAAACTAAAGAATATCGGAAAGGGGTGGACTACCCATTGCTTTGTTACAGGAAGAGGAACCCATTACAGCATAAATAAATGTCAGTGCTTCAATGAAAAGCCATTTAAAAGGCTACTTTGCAGGATTGGAAAGACTGATGCAAGATCAATATTTACAGTAACTATAAAAGAAAACATAAATCTGCAATATTCTCCAGAGTTGGAGAGATTGGCAGTATTTTGTTTTATGACTAACAGTTCATAGCAGTTTCCCTTAATAAAAGTCTTCACCATATTTTAAACATTGTGGCTCACTGACAGTGGACAGGCCACATACAGATATTTTCTGATTCACTTTTAACGGCCGGATTTTCCTAAAACTGGAGCAGCAGACAGAGGAAGTTACAACCTCCTCTCAGTCACCTAAAATAAAACTTGACATGAATGAATTCACCATTTAGCATCTTCAAGGCGCTAAATGTGTTGCCTTACTGCCAAACGCATTCATTCATTCTAGTAAAAAGACCCACATTGGGATATAAGAGAGAACTGAATGTGTGAAGATGCATGCTGGATGGAGCCAAGTAAAACAGAGGTAAAGTTCCTGTTTAAGGTTCAAATCTGGTTCTCTGGCCTGATGGCAGCTCAAGAACCAGCTGAAACTAAAACTAATGTTTGGTTCTCTGGCAATTCATTTAGAGCAGACCTTTTCAAAACTTAATAGAGTTTTTAAGAGAGCAAGAACATGAAAAAAAGAAGGAAAATAGGGGTTAAAATAACAGCAACATAGACATGGTACCTTTTACACCCTTAATTTAATCAGTTGTTATGAGCAACTGCAGCATATGTATTCCAACATCATCTTTATTATTACAAAGTTGTGGATTCAATGTATAAATATGTATGTATCTATCACAGCTTTTCAAATGACTCCAGTTCGTTTCTCATCATCAACAGCAACATTTTACTTAACATTTGTACGATTGCCAGAGAACCAAACCCGTTCAGTAGAGTCATCTTTCACAAAGAAAAAGGAGTGACACATTAATGTTCGCAGTATGAACAAAACACTGTTACATCGTTATGTAGGTATAGCGCCTATATTTACTGTAACTGGATCTTCGGTACAGGAGTGACACCTTATAAAACAGTTGACCAAAAGAACTACTTAGTATTAACAATTCAACACAAATACAGGAGGAGGGAGGGCTGGAGGGGGGGAAAGAAAATCTGTATTAAAAGGTGTGTATAGTTTCTTCCCAAACACAGGTTTTCCCTTTGTGTAGGGAAATCTGGAAAGCTCTACTCTACTTTCTGATGCAGGATTTCCACATGCCTCCAAGAGTCCACATTATGACATTTAGAAGCCATATTTGGCCTGGGTTTGCCTGCGGGTTAGCTTGTTATCTGCCCAGTTGTTCTTCAGCTCCAACTCCCGTTCCTTTGCCTGTGGAGGAAGAAAGTAAAGTAAAATTCCTGGTAAGACTAAATGTCATACAAATAATGCGTTTCAATTGAGTAAATATTGATTTGAAGTTATTTTTTGGTACTCTGAACCACTTGCTACAGTTTGCCCAATGTGTGTGACCAGTGTGGGATGTGTAAACAAGGCTAATTTGGGGGTCAGACTACCAGAGATATCGGGGGAAAAAACCTAAGTTCAGAGAAACCAGAAGCTTGAATGAGTACACAGACAAATATTGGTAACACCCTACTTAACAATGCAAATAAATCCCCACCCTGTGCTTATCCACACTTTGAATACCATCTGTGGTGAAATGAAATGAAAACCTGCTGTGTGACAGAACAATACCCAACATGATCTGGCTACTTTTTTAGCTTGTGTAGGCTCGTCATGAAGTTTTGTTGCAGCTTTACTGCTTAAATCTACAGCAGTCAACACAAAGCTTGAGGTCTGCTTTGTACAAACAAGCATGGCGGCCAACAACCTGGAGCTGAATGTGTGCAGACATGTCACACTGGGAGTGCAGACTCTTGAAACGGAAACCCTGACTCCCATCCTGCTCTGTAGCACCTTCAAAACCAACTGAAAAACAATGCAGTCAATCTTGCACTAGAAGCTTTTGCCCTGGCTACAATATATGCTGTTCGTGTTTAGTTACAGCAGTGAACTGAAATCTGCACTGTTTTGGTGTCAAAAACTTAAAAACAAAGAACGTAACACTTCAAAAGGTGCTGATATACGTCCACAGAGGACAGACCATCGCAAAACATGAGCATATGAGCATCACTTCTGCTTTAGTGGCACTCACCTGGTGAATGAGATATGTTATCTGATGCTTGCGTCGCTGTTGTCCTGTAGGCTGCTCTCCTTTTTTCTGCAGAAATGAAAACATGGATGTTACATCAAAGGACCAATGTGTGGAAAACATGTGAACGGCCCTATCTAGAGCCAGTGTTTAGTTTGTCCCTCCTGGGCTACT